TATGGGGTATGGCTCCCGTTGCCATGTGTGGCCTGGGCAGAGCTTAGGGACACATGGGCAACAGCCAAGGCCCAGAGGAAAGCCTGGAGCCAGGTTCAAGAGCTTCTTAGGACCAACAGGAAGTCAGCCTGGGTGTCTCAGGAATGGGCTGGGGAAGCCGTTGGAACTCCAGCGGTTGGAACTCCGAGTTCGGCTCCCCCGCACCCCCCTCTACCCACAGCAACAGGCCGTGCTGGCATCCTCCCTGCTTAGGAAGGACAGTGCCTCCCCCACATTCTAGACACTTCCTGGGACAGCCTAGCTGCCAACATCCGTTCTCCTCTAGGGACCCGCATCCTTGGGGTGTTTGGAGTCTTAACACTCTCCCATTGGGGTCTCCTTGGGCAGCACTGACACCAGAGTCCTTGCCATCCCTGGGGCTCAGCCTCCCCCTCATATTCTGAGTGCCTGGGTAGAAACAGCTCTCTTGAACTCAGCTGGCCAACAGCCTCTCGGAGAAGCAGGTCTTGGGGTATGCTCTGTCTTCTATTGTGCCAACTCCCCCAGACCTCTCTCCGCAGTCATCCCCAGGCTGGTGGGTGAGGGGCAACTCTGTCCAAGGTGAGAGCTATGTGTAATGTCACATAGGACGCCCAAGGCAGGGGGTGAGTGGGAAATGGGGAGACCCAGGGGAAGCCTGGCCGGAGGGGTTTCCATATCCAATGTACCAGCAACCCAGGACCTGAAATGGCCTGGAGGCGGTCCCGTGATCCTGTGGGGACCTGGGGGGAGGGGGGCAGGGGGACAGGAATTTGAACAGGGCTCCGGAGCCTGGACTATCCGGTTGCAACATGACCTGGGCCGGGGCCAGAGCTTGCGGGCCAAGGTTACAACGCCTCCAGCCAATGAGTCAAGGCTCTGCAGACAGGCGAGGGGTGGGGTGAGCAACATTCCCTGACAATCCGCACCCCCCACCTCTGCTGTAGTCCCCCACCAACTCCTGCACCTCCGAGGTCGCAGGTGGTGTCTAAGACAGACGTTCTAGGAAGGGAGGAGGTGCCAAGGGACAAAAAAAAGTGTATTTGCACAGAGAAAAGATCAAGGCCGGCCGGTCCCCCTTTCTCCTCTACAGTTCGGTTGATAATTGATCCGGCCCCTGTGTTCCTGGGAACTTTGCTCTAGGGCACTGGGCCAGGACACTGGTTTGCATGCTCCTAGGTTTGCCAGGGTGCAGCGGGGGTCGAGCAGGGCGCGCGTCTCGGCGGAGGCACCGGGCACAGGGCCCCAGGCTGTGTTAGGCACCCAGCTTCTCAAACCAGGCCCGGACCCCAAGCCCAAGCCCAGCCTGACGCGGCCTGCAGCACCCTCTGCCGGCCCAAGCAGGCGCGTTGGCGAGCTGCGACCCTCGGGCTGGCAGGGGCACCCTCCTTTGGCCACCTTTGACCTAAACTCACGCAGAAGGGTGTCTGGGCCATTGAGGCTGGGGCCCGTTTCGGTCAACGTGGGATGAAGTGAGTGGAGGCTTTGGCCGGCGCCACAGGGAGCCAGGAGTGGTTCCTGAGTGGGGGGTGTGGTTGGCTCAAGATGACCTAGGGGGCTGGGAGAGCGAGGGGCAGCCTGGCATTCCTTTGGGGGCCAGTGACCTCCGTGCAACTATGGTGGGCGGTGGCCGCCGGGGAGGGCAGGTGGCCCACGCCGGGGGTGAGAGTGGTGAAGAAAGGGACTGGGCCAGGTCCCCGGACGCTGGGGGTCGAGGAGGAGGGGTGACCAGAGCGTGGCCGAGGTCTCCTGGGGCAGCCAGCGTCCTGCGCTCCGGGACCCCCAGCGCCCCGACGGGCCACCAAGGGCCGAGAAGGTAGGACCCCCTAGGTACCCTCACCTGTAGGCCAGGCTCATGCACTCGAAGAGGCGGGTGAGTGTGGGGTCGATGCTGCGCGGCCCGAAGTTGCCGAACCCCACGGGCCCCTCCTGGGCGCGCCGCCGGGTCAGCGAGTCTCGGTGCGGCGACGACACCATGAAGTGACCGCTGTGGATGACCTGCGAGCGGAGCAGCCCGCTCGCGCTGCGCCGGAGGCTCGGCTCCTCCGAGTCGGTGTCCGAGTCCGAGTCCGGGCTCGGGCCGAGCCGTGGGCCGTGCAAGTCCGCGGCCAGACCTGCCAGCGCCGGGGCCGAAGCCATCGCTGCCGCTGCCGCGCCCGAGTTCAACTAAGTGGCCCACGCCGCGTTCGAGACTGGCCTGGCCTCATTCGCATGACCACGCCCCCTCTGCCCCGATAGGCCAGCCTGGTGGGCGGGACCCCCGTGCCCTGGCGCGTGGGCGGGGACGGGTCGCGGCCAGCGTGAAGGTAAGGCACCTGCCAGGTATATATAAAATGAGCCCAGCGCCGCGGTTGGGTGGTTTGCAAGGCCATACCTCTCTTGCTTGGAACAGCGGTGCAATAGCGGTAAAGAGACTGACGCACGAGGAGGTCCCAGAACTGGACACTCTTGCGAGCATCACTAGATCGACTCCGAGGAGATCCCGAGGGAAGCCTGAGGTGGCGCGGGGCGGGGGAGGCTTTAGCCACCTTTCCTGGGACAGCCCCAAGGCAGCTGCTGTGTGGCCGGGAGCTGCGAGCTGTGAACCTGCCCCTCCTACTGCCCTGAGGTCCACCTCCTGTTTTGCTTCATACCCAGGGGACAGAAACCAGGCTATTCCGTCTGATGCCTTTACACCTGTCACCTCACTGGAGCCTTAACTAATCCTCAGTGACTAGTGAGGTGCTGTCCCATTGCAGGGGTGTGCCTCAGGGAGGGGAGACACACTAAGGAGCTAGGGCAGCGGTTCTCAACCTGTGGGTCTCGACCCCTTTGGGGGTCGAACGACCCTTTCACAGGGGTTGCCTAAGACCATCAGAAAACACATTTCCAATGGTCTTAGGAACAGAGACATCTCTCCTCTATCGTCTCCGGATCCACCCACATGCAGATACGCCCACCTAGGAGGACTCGGTGTGAAGACTGTTTGTTACCCAGGCTTCAAGATAACATTTCATTGATTTGTCATTAGAAATAAATATTTCACAATATAGAATGACATCTTGTTTTTGTGATTCATCACTATGCTTTAATGATGTTCAATTTGTAAACCATGAAAATACATCCTGTATATCAGATATTTCCATGACAATTCATACAGTAGCAAAATGAGTGATGAAGTAGCAACCAAAATCATGTTATGGTTGGGGGTCACCACAACAAAGCCAGGATTGGGTGGAGGTCCCCAGACTTCATCCAGGGCTGCCTCTGCTAGGGAGCAGGGGAGGGTTGGTGGCAAGTACCAACCTCCCTTGGCGTTGTCTAGGATGCAGACAACAGGTGTGAAAGGGCCAGGTGAGGAACCTCCTCTCCCTCTCTCCAGCACTGCAGAGGCTCTAGCTGCAGGGGTCCTGGCTTAGGCAGTGACCTAAACGGATCCTTGTTCGGCCACTAGTTTCATGAAAGACCTTAGGTAAGGTTCTTCATCAGGACCTGCCTCTTCACCTGTAAAAATAGCTTGACTTCTAAAAGTTCCTAGTGCCCTACA